CACGTGGAGTATCTAGATGCCGGGGAAGTGGCGTTCCTGACACTGCACATGCTGTGTGGAGGTGGAGGGGGGGCGATCGTAGTAGGGACTTGTCCAGTCTGTGTCAGAGGGATTACATACAGTACGTCCCTCTCTGCTTTTATTCTCTGCGGAGAATAAAAGGGCACGTTTGGATGCAAAGAGTATTAAACTGACCCCATGCACAGGTCTAAAGCACTGCAAATACAATCTAGTGCGTTTTCTAAACGAGAGATCCGAGCTTCAGCCGGCTTCTCTTAGACTTCAGATGAGCATCTGTGCAAGTAAAAAAGAGTTTTGACGAAGGTCCCAACATATCCGAGGTGTACATCTAGATGAATGTGCAGGATCTAAGTTTCCAGGGTTCTTCCATCTTCCACAGAATTTAATGAAGAGTTTTATTATTTATCTAGGATTTAGGTGCAGAGTCTCAGAAGGTAGATGGAGTGTATACTTCAGCATCTTCAGTAACCGCTGAGCAACCAGGGTAACCATTTACAAATGAGTTCAAGTAAGTGGCTACGTCAGCATGTGTAGTCTACAAAGGAACAAGTAAAGGTTTATTCCATGGTGAAAAGAGAAGAAAAGATGTGACACCTGGAGAAGGCTCCATAGCCAAAACGTTGCGTTTTTCTTCTTTTTATTTACCCACTTGCCACCCAACAGGTGATCAGAATCAAGCAGATGAGGTGAAGAAGCAGCAGCAGCAGCTGGGGTTGGTAGACTTTGTTAGAAAGGATAGCTCTTGCTCCTGAAGACCATGTAGCCTTCCCTAATCCACTAACCCCCTTCCCCTTGATCAAAACAGGCAATTTTCCAGAAGGAACAAGGGTAACTTGTGTGAAAGCTACACAGTTCAAATGTACCGCATTGTAGCATTTGGTAGTTAGTAGATCCAAGGATCAGCCAGGGTATCGACTTGAACAACATGGCTGGGTAACTAGTTCTAGATTCCCCCAACTCTCTGTGAGAAAAGTGTCTCCTGTTCTCAGTTTGAAATCCATTAACCCATAATTTCTCACTTGTGTCCTCTGGTTCGTGCATCAATATTGATTCTGAAAAAGGCCTTTTGGATTGACTGTGTCTAATGTCTTGGACAATTTCAAATGTTAAAATACCTGCATCAGATGCCCTCAGCAATGTCTTCTTTGCTAAAGACTGAAAAGGTTCAGTTTCTTCAGCCTGGCAATGTAAGACATTCTCTTACGTTCCAGAATATATCCAATTACTCTTCGCTGGATATCACTAGCAACTATAGCCAGTGGTGGGTGAAATGGGAGAACTGAACAGGCGCTTTGCTTAAGGGGAGTTTGTTTTTTTGTGCTGTGTTCAATGTGCCAGTCACACCAAGTTTCCAAGAAAACAATAGAATGCCTTGATCTAAAAAGATAAATGGCTAACATCTCAAACCATACTGTTACTGAGAAAAAAGGCATCATTCACAAGGCATTAAAAGTGTTGGAGTAATGATGTTTTGTCCAACTTTCTATCCACAATAGGTGATGAGATCTCTGTGATATTTAAAGTAATTAAATCTTGTATGTTTTGTTACATAGCTGGATGGAAATCATTATTTCAGTATTTTTCATCCTTAATTAAGGTTTCCTATTCCTGCATTTTATTTTGCTTGCAAACAGACGTTTTGAAGGGTAACTCACATTGATGTTCTTGTAGTGCTAATGGAAAACTAAAAGGATTTGAAAGCAAATTGATTTACAATCCATTACATTTACAATCCTCTTTGCTGACTTTCCAATGTAGTTATTCATAAATAAGTGTGATATAGTAAAATTATACATACTGGAGGATTCTTCCTAGTGACTGTGTATCGTAATACTTACTATGTATTTGATAACTTCTTAGACATTTACTGGACTGCTTGTAGAGAAATGAACTACTGTTATCGAGCTCAAATCTTAACCTCAACCTCTACGAAATATAACTTAAAGGCTTTCTAAAGATGACACTTTGGAGATACTATTTCATTGTTCATGCTAATACAGGTCTTTGAATTTAAATCCATAGGAGAACTAAATCTTCACAGAAACTTTTGCAAAACTGTCCTGTACTTCAGTGTCACAATTTAATCTTCAGGATTAAATATTCAACAAGTCGCAAAGCATCACTTTTAAACATTTTGTTCCTTCCTGGAGTGGATACAAAAGACAACGCACAAATGAGGAAGTCCTCAAATTGAAATCCTATTACAATAAACAGCATAAAGTGATCAACAGCAACAACAAAGATCTCTCATGCTTCCTCCTACAGTCAACTAAGAACCAACAGCAAAAACCCTTTTGTAAAAATATGTTCAGTTATGTAGTTCAAGGGTTTTCTTCACAAATGAAAAATGAAAGGAATGGAGTGACTGTTCCATTTTCTTCCCATTCTGTTGTGACTTAGAAGGGTTTGATCAAACTGATTAACAGTTTTCAGTCCCACAAAGAAATGGGAGGGAGTATAAAAAGAAATAAAGGACTACCGAGGACAAAATAACTTTCCTGTGTGCACATATTCTTTGCCCCTCTCTTCTGGGAAAAGAAAATAATTGTAAGTTAAACAGTTCTACCCCCTGGTGGTCACATTAGTCATTGAACACTCTAGGAACAAGCATTATTTTCTCCTTAACAACGGGACCCAGACGTCTGCTGGCCACTGCAACAAAATATAGTTGTCAGAGTTGATAGCTGTTGCTGTGGCTCTCAAAATAAGTTTACAAAATTCCAATACCTTACTGAGTTTTTAGTCTTAGGACCCCAGACACAAAAAAGAACCATCTCCCCTTAAAAGAAAAACCCATACTAAGTTAAGTGTTAAAAGGCAGAATAGTTAGATTGGGATTTAGAGATCTACAGTTTAGGATTAGGAATTTTGTTAGTACGATTATACAAATATTTTAGGACTTCAAAAGTAATCTCAATGCCCTATAAAATACATATATACCACCACAAAACTACAATCAAAATTACACAGTTGTGTATGAATACAAACAAAAGAATCACAAAAGGGCTTTTATGAACAAGTCTAGTTCTTAATACATTCACAGTATGAGTCTGATTTCTTTTGGGATGTTGTTCCAGAGCACTGGGCCACAGCAGCAACAGGCCCTGTGACCCACAGAGTGTTGTGGAACAATAGGAAGGTCATGTGGGGGGGAGTAAACAGCAAACATAACAGCTAGATGCTGGAGAGAATGGCCTTGAAATCAACTCAATACCTGACCGGAAACTAGTGCAGAGACTCCAAGACAGGAGTGATGTGATCACAATTGTGTGTGATCTCATCAGATTTAAGCTGCTGAATTCTGAACATACTGTAACTTGTTCAGGGCAGTTTTACAGACTCCTGCAAGCTGGGTGACAATAATGAAACCATGAAAAACACATGAAATAACTGTTCTTCTACAGACAGCATAGGATAAGAGTCTGGAAATGTTTCTAAGAATGGAAAAAATGTCTTCACAACATTTTGCATGGGGTTCAAAAGCCAAAGTGTGAATGAAAATTATCGCCAACTTCCTCATTTTGGAATGAAACCTCATCCATCAACATTGTTTATACATAACCGGGAGGAGCTCAACCACATTCATCTGCATTAGATGCTGGTTATCATCATGTTTAGATCACCATGTTAAAACTTTATACACATGCTACATGTGATAATTTAGAAATGGAATTTCCAACCCCTTATTTAAAGTCTTACCACTTAACCATCCATCCTTCCATTTTATAACTGTATGATTCAATTCAGCTTCTTTTCAGGGCAGCTGGATCCCATTCTGGCAAGCAACAGGCTAAAGGCAGGGTCCAGACTTGATGTGGTATCCATTGCAGGGCAGACACAAACACAGCGTGCACATATTCACATATGGGACAATTTCCCCAGAAGCCAATTAACCTACTAGCATGTCTTTGGACTATGGGAGGAAACTGAAGGCACCCAGAGGAAACCCATGCCAACAGGGACAAACCCCACACAGCTAGTACCCCAAGTCCAGAATTTAACCCAAGGCCCCAATGCTGACAACTGTGCCACCCACCTGTTAACCACTCACTGAATAATAGCCAATGTAATTTTGACCTGATCAAACAAGTTTGAACACAACTCAGAAAAAAGCAAACATCCTGTTCAGGAGACTAGTTGGAAGACCACAGTAATTAAGATCATGTTTCTTGGGAACACACAGGCATTTACGTTATATTTCTTTATTTCACTTAAAAGTTTACAACAACTTCTGGATAATATACATGAAAAAAAACACAGATTTTAAAGTTAATACATATATATGTACCTTTGGTGATTGAAAATGTGAAGGGCCTGTGGTGGTCATTAGAAAAATAATTTGCTTTACCAATCTTGCTTAGTTTCATATACATATAGATCTATATCTATAGATAATACACACAATTCTGGCTTTTATCGTTCAAATTGTCTGAATTTTTATTTTCATAGAAAAATCAAGGCCCTCTTAAAAAAGACATTAAAATGGAATACAATATTTTAAAACCCTGATCGAATTATGTATAGTATTTTATAATACATCTTCATACGAGCTCATACTATTAACAATTGGCATCAGTGGAACTGACTTCTGTAAAAAAAAAAAACAGTAGTTTGCTAAAGGTTTATGGTGGGAAAAGGTATGAAATTCTCCTAAAGCCAAATAAAGTTTATAAAAATGCTTCTTTTTAATATATTTATATATAAAATACTGTTTCATTTATAGAAAGTTTACTTTGTACAAAGTGTGTGAGCAAACGGAAAATAAAGAACAATCCTGCCGCAGTGCAGGAACTGACGTTTTCCACTACCAAGGTGTACACAATATACACACGTTATTACTTACAAAACAGACAGGCTTATATCGAAGAGTCGGGGGTTACAGTAGTGTTAGTAGCACCATGAGAAAAAGAAAAAAAAAATTAAAAATGCAGTCTCGCTATTGAAGGGTCTTCAGTGCATTTCTTCTCTCTGATGTTTAGAAAGGCAAAGTGCTGATTTGGTAATGGAAACAATTCCACTTGTGAAAAACCCCAACGCACTTGGCTTTTTCGAATGTGTAACGAGCAAAATAGTAATAAAAATGAAGATAAAGGAAGGGGATCAATCCTCTCAGTCTGTCTGAGAAAACGCACCATTTACACAGCTCTGCCATGGCACTTTTTCTGAGGTACTCATTTTAGTTTGTTTCAAAAGTTTGTGCTGTGTCGCACAGTAGCACCACTAGAGTTGAACTGGAAGACAATGCATCACTGGAATTCTGCCTGTTGTCCCAGCAGCCTCTGCAGCGTTACGTCTTCTTCAAGCACACGACGCAGCGACTGACCCGTGTTCGCAGGTTCCCTGCTTTCAAAGTATCGGGCGTTGGCTTCCTGTGGAGAACAGGACATGGGACATGGAATACAGGTTTCCTTCCAGCTCAGCTCTTTAACCTTAAAAATCTGACAATTAGCATATTTTCAACCAGTGTTTTGGGGGGATTTGTAAAGGATAACCCCAAAATAACTTTAATTAAGGTCTTGACAACTCCACATAATACTGGGAGCACCTAGGATCAGGTGTGTGAATTGCTGAAACAGGACTTCCAAGAGCATCTGCCTTAAATCCTTAACACACCTCAGTCCTAACTGCAAGACTAACACTAATTCTAACCCAAACTCTAAGCCTTCCACTAACACTGTCGGTTACTGTAATCCCCACTGACAACACCAATAGTGTCACATCTGGTACATATAATCAAAACCTGCTGGAAAACTTTCAAAGTGACAGAAAGACAACCCACAATTTCCAGTTAGTGGTGCTCATACTATTAGGGGAAATAAACAAGACTACATTTGTATAGTGAGGTAATTCATTTCTATTTTGAGGTACTTGTCCAAACTTCAAGGTGAAGCAGATAAGGATTTCTGCTTGTGCCAATTTATGCAAGAACCTGTTGCTAGTAAAACCTGTAATGGATTAAATTGTAAAGCAAGGGGAATTTGATCTGATCTCCTAGGCTGTAGACAATCATACGTTTACCAAAGGAAATTATTTTGCAGGTCTCCAAATGGTATCTTCGATATGAAGTAAAGACATGCTGTAGCTAAGAAACACGTATCAGATTTTGAGGAGAAAACGACTGATAAAGAATGAGGTCCATTCAGGATAGACTGTAGGCGAAGGGGAATAAAGTCACCAGCAACACATTAACAGTATGATTTCTAATCTGTTGGAAAATTCACTTCCCATTTTCAAGCTTCAAATAAAGTCAGGATCATTTTCTAAAACCATGCAGAAGTGAAAATAATATTCACACTCTTTTCCCCCTGCTACTTAGGTTCTATCTTGCCAGGACCGCATGCTGAAAATCTTAAAATCTATTTTTATAAACCACTTTAACCTGGTGTGGATCCTAGCTTGAAAGTCTCAGAAACACACAAGGAAGTTGTTCTCTTGTAGCAGGACTGGGTCTGGGTTTACTGTACCTGAACATCTCATTCATTTCCACTGTGGCCAGCCAGAAGCTGTAGGAGTTGCCATAGTAATTGCAGGTGCCCTTGCCATGGCATTCGATGAAAGGTGCTGAGCGGAACTCCTCCAGACAGGACCCAGGTGATGCTAGGGCTTGTCCTGAGCCCTCTGCCCCAGCACTTGTATGCTGCCAGGAGACAAGAACCTGGGGTCACAACACACCCCTGGCCGGACCCACACAGCCTTCCAGAAGAAAACTGCTAACTGTAATCTCCCTGCCTACTCCTTATCCTTGTACTCCTGAGGCTAGTTTATAAACCCTGATAGGAATACCATGTTATTTAAATGTTATTCCCAATTATTATACCAAATTAAGAAATGTTTTTTAACAAAACTTTACATTTACAACAATTGTCGTCAAGGCCTGCTGTCCAGCAGGTGTTTAAGTCTCTTTCAACTTCCAGGTGATCAAGAACAAGGAAAGGCTTCAACTTGTCTAGTTAACCACATAATTAGGTAATTAAAAACAGAACACTAATCAGACCAGGTTCCACCCAAACAATCATCACAGTTAGCACCATTTATAGGGCTACAAGTTCTCTAGACTAAAATAGTGAAGTAGAAAAACTAGAAATCCTGAGTTTCAATGAGGGCAGTGACAGGCTCTGTCACACAGTACTGTTGACACCAACATACCATCATGAAGGAGTATCCAATCCACAGCGGCTCCCAGTTCTGGGGACAAGTAGGCAGCTGGATGGTCTGGCTGTGAACAGCAATCACCATGGCAGGAGCTTCACACACTGCGCACCTGAGAGATATGGGCACACAAACTGTCAGACCAGCGATGGGGCTAAAGAGAGCCCCAAATTATTTACTCAGTGACTGAACAGCAACCTGCATTACTCAGGCTATCTATTGAATTTCTTTTTAATCCAGCAAAGAGAAGACTTCTCAAAGAACAGCCTTAGTCCACATAACCCAAAACAAAGTTACTACAAAAAAGGCCAAAATGATGGGCTTCTCTTCGAACATGATCCTCCTATACAATTAAACTCCCAGTTTCGGACAAAACTTGTGTGAAGTGTGAAAACGAGTGGCACAAGGTGTTAGTCAGGTCTTGCGCATGTCCGAGCTCCTATCAGCCTTGTTTTGTGCTGCTGACAGGACAGTAGTGTGGTGAAGCAGTCCAGAGATCTGGACTTGAATTTAGCGGAAGTTAGTGGGTTCAGATCCCAGGTACCACACTGCTGTTGTACCCTTGAACAAGGTTGTTCACCCAGACCGTTCCAGTAGAATACCAAGCTGTGTAGGTGGAGTAGTGGTCAGCATTGCTGCCTCGTGGTGCAAGACCGGGGTTCAATTTCCAACCTATGGCGCAATCTGTTTGGAGTTTGTATGTCCTCCCCGTCTTCGAGTGGGTTTCCTCCGGGTATTCCAGTTCCCTTTCCCAGCCCAAAAACACATGGACAGGTTAATTGGCTTCTGGGAAAATTGGCCCTAGTGTGAGTGTGTGTGTTGTCTGTGTGGAGAACTGGCTTCCCATCCAGGGTGTACCTTGCCTTGCGCTTGCTGCTTGCTGGGATAGGATCCGACTCCCCCACAACAGTTAGAAAACGGATGGATAGATAGGTGTGTGCAATCAGAGAGAAGGGATAGCCATATAAATAAATGAGAGTTCAGGTTATTTGAATACAGCAGGACTCTGCCTTTGTTATTCCCAGCTCTCACCTGCTGATGAAGGGCTTGATGTTCTCCCCTGTGACAGGGGCCATGCTCATGGGCATGGGCTCGGGGGTGGACAGCCAGTAGGAATAGTCATTCCGGGAGGCGAAGTTGCAGACGTTGTTGATGTTGCAGAACATGAAGGGCATGGTGCTGAAGCGACGCAGGCAGCTCCCCGCTGTCCCTGTAGGGGTCACCGTTTCAACAAGTGAATGAGACTAGGGCCACTGACAATGGCCCACTCAGCCCAACTCTTGCTGGCGGTTAATCAATCCCAGAGTTACCTCTAGACAATTCTTTGCTGAAGGCTGCAATAGTGTCTGCTTTGACACCATAACTGGCAGTTTCCCCTCAGAACCGCCTCCATTTGAGATCCTAGCTACCCCATTAAATTGGCCCCAAAGAACAAGTCTAGTCACGGATAACTGACCTGTTGCAGGTTTTTACAATGACCAGTTTTAACGTGGTAAACTGAACACTGAAATTGAAAGATCATGCCTTATAACCAAAAAAAACAAGTGCTACTTAACTGCTAATTATTCAGAATGATATGGGTTAAAACTCCTACAATAACATTCCTTGTTTTCACAGTACTTTGTGGAACTATTCACCCTTTGCAAAGTATCCAAACAGTGTCGCTGACCAAGCTTGCAAACACTTCAAGTAGAACTTCATATGTAGAATATACACAATGCAATCCAAACTGACAAAAAAAACTGCTAAATGTTAAATATTTTTTGTATTTAGGGTTTTTCATCTTAAAGTGCTTTACATAGAAATGGGGACCCACTTCATCAACTGTTTAAATGCAGCCCCACCTGAGTGAAGATCAACAGCCATCTTGCACCAGTAGATAATGTAGAGAAGTGAGAAAACGTCAGTTAAATTAATGGATCTTCAGATAAGCTACGTGCACAAGACCAATGTGTAATGTAACCAGCACAGGACACAGATAATATCATCATTATTCTTATGCCATTAGACCCAGTAAATGGCAGTAATCACCAGGTGGTCTGGACCTCAGTTTAATGTCTCATAAAAGTTTAATGTCTCCTTTTTAGTACAGTGTTCCTGATCACCATCCTGGAACATGTCTAACACCACTTATAACAGAAGTCTGGTTTTCCTTGCAGGTGTTCCATCCCGATACTGACCAGGCCCAGCGCTGCTCAGCTTGTGAGGAGATCAGCGTGGCAGGGTGTCGCAGAAGTAAAAACAGTTTTTCCAATGTTAAGGAGTCCAGTTTTGGTCTAAATAAGAAATATTTTGCTCTTTTCTTTGTGGAAAATGCAGACCATTTCAGAAATGATTGATCACACAAACCTCTGATACTGGAACCCCCTTCATACAACATGGGGAGACATCTAATACCAAGAACAAATGTGAGAGATACAGTAGGTGGGCCCTTATGGGCTGGAGTATATCGACTCCTGGATTAAGCACCTCACTTACCCAGGTCCTGGCCGTGAGCCCTCTCATTTCCTTGTACGTACAGCAGGGAGTAGCCATCGTATATCTCAGAGGTGCCAGGTGGGCACGGGGGCACCTCAGTGCTTTGACTGTGACGGGTGATAAGGAACCCATGCGCCACTGAGGCAGGAGCCGGGGGTCCGGGAAGACCCTGCTGTCCGTCAGGTCCCGGGGGTCCTGGGAAACCTCGCTGCCCTGAAAGAAAACAAGCAAGACCACATTTCAACTAGACAGTACCGGCCATGACAAAGCTCTGGGCAATAGTCTAACCCCAGACAGGTAATGGTGGGGACATTCAGAGGAGTATGAAAAACACCTTCTGAATGGCCCCATACAAGTACAACTCCTATCAGTTCTAGTCGAACTGGAGAACTCTGAACTCTGGTCCTCTAGGTCAAACCATCAGATTAATTTTTAGGTTTGATGTGTCAAATGCTGGTTATTATCAGACATATTTAGCACTTGAAAAATTGTGTTTGCACTGCAGTCATAGTTGACACTATGGTACCGGGTAATGGCATTAAAAAGCTAAGCACAGTTCTCACTTCTCTGCCATGGAAAACCCTACAATCTTACCGGGTTGTCCAGCAGGGCCTGTATCTCCTTTGCGTCCTGGAGGACCGTTGAATCCAGGGGGGCCTTCAGTACCTGGGTCTCCTGGGATCCCGCGCTGACCTGGAAGAGATTGACCTTGTTATGACCACTTTAACACCACCACTCCCTTGTGCTTGAGATGGGCCTCCTAACACTGACATCACAAGTCAAAGGGTTATGAGAGTCAAACCAATCAGAAGCTGCACATCTCTTTTGTGCGATGATAATGAGAGCACTCGAAACGCATTTTAAAATAAATTGAAGATATTTAGGGAGACACCTTTATTCCAGACAACCTACAACCAAACAGTTAGTGAAATATAATTATTCATATTAAGTGACAGACCCTTTTCTACTGTTTGCTAAATGTAACACAGGAACTTTTACTTCGGAACTAAGACTAAATAATGTGGAAATCTACCATTTTCCATTTCTTCCCAGAGATATTTTGCTGGTTGATATACTTCCTTTAGAAGAAAAAGGTTTTGAAATGCACCTGAAGTTGAAATTAAGTCAGCGGAATCTGTTCAAGTCAAGCTTTTACCATAACTCATTTTTACTTTTGGGCAGACATAACGTCTGTTTGTTTGTGAGCTGCATCACATTTGTTATCTAGGACAACAGGTGTTTGCTTTAATAAGAAGTAGTGGTTATGACCAGGTAAACTGCTACTTTTTATACTCTAAGGGGAGTCACACAAATATTTGCCTGTGTCCGGCGATTGAAACTGGACAAGTGTCAGGGCGTCTCATCCTACCTGTTAAGCCGTCCAAACCCGGCGGTCCTTGAGGCCCACGAGGTCCTGGCTGTCCGGGAGGGCCTGGGAGACCCGGCTCGCCCTTCACCACAATGGGAGCACCAACAGGACCAGGCAGCCCTGGAGGACCTGAGAAACAAGGAGCAAGACAAGGCCACAGCTGCAGTCAGCACCACCCACACACGTTGGCAGAACTACGCAAAACTCTGGCTGAGACATTCACCTGTATGATTCAGAGCTAAAGCCAGAGTTTCAACTCTACAGAGAGCGTCTTTCTCCTTGGGAATTCCTGTAGATCTACAATTTGTCACACTACTATCTAATGCTTCAATCTTGAAAAAAAAGAACAAATTCAATGCATTTTGCAGAAACCCTTATTTGGAAAAACAAGCACCCCAGAGCAAAGGGCATTTTCAAATATCCCCATAATACAGCTGCGCCTCTGGAAAAACTGACCAGCTTTCAGACCCTGCTGTAATTACAGTCTATTTGAGTTATGCTGTAGGTTTGGTGTTAATTCATTTACACACAACATTATGTAAAAAGCTTCTGTTAAATAAAGTACTGCAGGGCTCTTCTAATGTGATCCAATATCAAGTATACATCCATCCATTTTCACTCCGCTTTTCCTGGTGAGGGTCGCGGCTGCAACAGGCTGAGTAGATCAGCCCAGACTTCCCTGTCCCCAGCAACAGATTCCAGCTCCTCCTGGGGGATCCCCAGGCGCGCCCAAGCCAGCCGAGAGATATAATCCCTCCAGCGTGTCCTGGGTCTGCCACGGGGTCTCCGCCTAGAGGGACGTGCCCGGAAAAGCTCCAGCAGAAGCCGACTGGGAGGCATCCTTATAAGATGCCCAAACCACCTCAACTGGCTCCTAACGTCAAGTGTGAATGGGAATGTTGAGCCATAGCACCTCGTTCGAGTTCTGATCTTGAAGGTTTCAATTTTTCGACTTGCACTAGTTAAATAGGATGCGCGTCTTTGAGAAGGAGACGAGCCTGCAGAGCAGATTGGTACCTTGAGGGCCATTTTCTCCTTTATCTCCTGGAGGTCCAGAAGATCCAGGTTCCCCAGCCGATCCCTTGAAACCTGAGAAAGAGGCATGATGAGTCAGTGCAGTCTTGACCCACCAGCCCCTGTGCTGAGTTACCAAAGAGTATCCTGGACAAACTTTCTCAGACTAACCTGGGAATCCGGGAACTCCCGGAAAGCCAGAATCTCCTTTCTCACCGCTGGGGCCTGGGGTACCAGGTGTACCCTAAGGAGATTGGATAAGAAGCCATTCAGAGAATTTCAAACTCACCTGAGCTAATGGTTACCAAAACCTTTCCCTTTTCTTAGAAAATGCCATAGTGTGGAGTATGTGTAAGCAATGAAGACATTACTGCACAATTCATACAAACTCCATGCTTTCAAATACACTTTAGCTGCAATTCCTGCATTCAGCCCTTTGCTGACTGCATTTACTGGATCTGTACATTATATAGTGGGAGACATGTTAAACCTCTAAGGTCATCAGTTAATTGACTAAGGCTAACACTATTAAGATGCTATTAAAAAGATTAAATGTAATCTATGTAAACGCACAGTACAAACACCAACTGCTCAACAGGCATATAGTGTATTAGGTAGAATACTAGAAATGGCATTTACTAATCTCTGATGCTAATATGATACATGACATGAGTAGTAAAAGATTGTTGGTTGTCTTTAACAAGGTACACAGAAAATTCTATTGTATTTAAATATTTTGGGGGGCCAGTTTCTAAAATTTGCAGTAATTTTTTAAAGTGCGTTTTTTCCAGTCACACAACACTCCACTGACCAAGGCTCCTTTTCCCAGTGACAGTACTGCACCCTCTCCACTCACCGGAAATCCAGACGGCCCAATCTCCCCCTTCTGGCCTGGAAGTCCTGGCAGGCCCAGCTGGCCGGGATTTCCCTTCTCGCCCTTCACCCCTCCGATCCCAGCAGGGCCCGGGGGGCCTTCAGGGCCAGGGGGCCCTTCACATAGGAACAGAGTAAAGGTAAGTCAGTTTGGCAACACCCAAGAGCCTGTAGGTTCACACAGAACCCTGACTAGCCTAGAAACACTGCCATGTAATTGGGATCCTACAGTGGACTACATCATCAGACCTTTCCTTGTATTTAATATTTTATATGTTAAGTGTATTATCATGTGAGTCACTCCTTTGTGTGTATTTACTTTTTCATACATATTGACCTTCAGGTTTAAGAGTATTAAATACTCCAAATGCACAACAGACATGTACATGCATTATTTGAATGTTGCTGCATATAATGTTGCACCAAGCACTAGAAACGATGCTAAACCAAATGCCCTTCTTACGCACAGATTATGTAATTTGTGCATTTATGTACAAAGCATTATGCATTTGATTATGTCTTTTGTAACAGTTATGAAGGGATGATGAAGTCTTTATGCAACAACATTCAAACAAAGTGTTACCTCCAAAAAATCAATACTTTTATGCTGTACGTTGCAAAGAAGCTGTAAACACTTGTTAAAAATGTATCTGTAGCCACAGTATCCAATGAACTCAGGCAGTGATATACTGTACAAGCATCTACAATAAACACTGAAGCAACACTATACTGCTGAAATAAGCGCTGACACGCAAACACCAAATCAAACTTCCCTCTAACCCTCGATGGGGACATTCTGATGGTACCAACAGCATTCCAAGCATCACACTTCCTGTTGTGCAGGAGACTGTGAAGCAGCATGGACTCTTTACACTGCTACAGAAACACAACTACAAAGTAATGTATGAGGCAGTGATATTGTGTAGCACTGGAACTTGTGCATAGAAGAGAATTTTGAGTCAGCAGTGTCTTAAATTCTCCAAATCTTTGTGGGCCCTGTTTAGTAAATGTGAGCAAAAGCGCTCTGTGAATGTACATAGTTTGGTGGTTGCAGTTGGATTTATAATTCACTATGTAATTCACACTCAGTTCAAACCTGGTTTTCTCATCCGCAGTTAAGAGAAATGCTATATAACTTGTCTATGCTTTTCTAAATTGCTTCTGTTATATGTAGATGAGGACAATTCTCTGAAGCTCAGCACGTGTGCTGTACAAATGCTAATTTGGGATGTGGAAGTTAAAATACATATATGGAGGGTACTAATGGAGATTTTTCTGGTTAGAACTGCACTAGAGGTCTTAATTCACTTGCGTAATTGAACAAAATTAAAACTTCTCCCAAGGCGACCCTTAAATGCCCAGAATGAACAACCCCTGCCTGCCTTAAAGAAAACTGTGTCAGTGGTTTCAGTGGCAAACATAACTTCGTAGTTGTGCGGAAATATTTCTTCAAAAGCAGCAACATGAAGAGTCCAACCTATTCTTTTATCGTTACTGTGGATATTAACTTATATAGACACAGCAGCAATAAACCACAACTTTGAACATGCACACTGTTGGGAAAGAAGGAAACTGAGCAAAGAGAGGATTTGAGAATGTGAATGTGCGGCATTTTTTCCTAGTAAATGGGGAGAGAAGGCAGAAGGGATGGGAGGAAGGCAAGTCAGTGTAACTTGAAAACGGAGCACCCCATAGTTCATAGTGCACAGGAGGCAGTGTGAACAGTTACAGAAGACTCTAACCTGGAGGACCTAAGTTCAAAGGTCACCCAAGATCCAGAATTCCCCCGTTTTGAAGGGCCACACCCGTCACAGAGTACAAAACAAGATTAATGGTTAGCATAGTAGGGGGGAAAAAACAAGCACTTAAATCACAATGAACAAACAAAGTCATTGTCAACTACATGTCTGAGGGACAGCCAGATCCTGGAATATACATACAGGAAGACATGCAGGTATTGTACATGTTCCGGCATGTACTGAGTTACTGTTAAACTCTTGACTGAACAGAGAAAAAAATGCCTGTTCCTTCACTGGGAGACCTGATTAAGATGAAGAACATGCAATACCATTGTTGTATTAACTTCCTTTCACATCAATCACATCCGATCAGACAATAGGATGTGACAGGATTTGGCTGAACACAGACTACAATTTTCTTAACAGAACTTGCTTTTAAAACTTGAAAAACCTACAATTCTGCTCAAGAACTGATCACATGAAAGGTACAGAGCCATAATGTGTAAAGAGCACCACCACCAGTCAATACCTCAAACCTGGCTACAGATTTTGTATGTGCATTGCATTGATTGTTTTAAAATCTGATTCTGAATCTAAACTGGCACTTTTTTTGGAAAATGATTCCTTAAGGCTGAAGAGCGGCCCAGCAGGGTTATATTTCACTGATATTCACTTGTGTCAAGTCGGCAGAAGTTTTATTTCCAATTGCTGTGGGGAAAATAACGTGAGAACCACCGGGGAAAACATGAAAACGTGCAGATGACAAAAAGCAGAGTATGTGGTAATCCTCACAATTTGACGAATTGTACGTGTACAGTAATCAGGTAACACTGGACCCATGGCTTAGCTCCTTATGGAAGTTTCTTGAAATGGGGAGAGATCAACAGGTGGTGGCTCAGATTAAAACATGCTGAATCTATTTAATCAGAAAAGGACTGTAGGCGTACTGTACCAGTTACTTTAGCGAAACATTTGTGGTAGTTCTTTGATTTAGTAATTGCCCGCCATTTTAAATGGTCTTGATAGAGAACAAAATGTTCACCGGCCAGGTTTTTTAAAGGATAATCGTGGGAAGAAGAGACAAAATCCAGTGACCCATGATTTCTGCTTCTTCAACCCTGCTGGAGATACTTCAACAGGATGATGTCTAGAAGTGTCTGGCCACAGCTAGCCATTTTGATGGCCACACAGTGCACAAGCACAAGACTGACCAAGAGAAGCAAGATGCTCTTGTGCATCAGACACTGATTGTGTACAGTATCAGTATATAAATCTCATATTTAAAAAAAAAAGTCACGCCAAGTGCAGCTCTAGGGAGATATAAAGGAGGAATCTCTAAAGCCTAAAATGGAAACAACTCCCTAAATCTTCAGACTGGAAACTGCCTTTGACTTATTTTAATAACCAAAAAAAGTGCCAATGAATTTGGGAACACATTTGTTTGTACTTTTAAGCCTGTCATCAACTTCCTTTTACTTCTGCTTTCAAAATGGATTATACACTTGTCTGAGAGCCAATACAAAGCTTACAATGGTGATGTATCTTGTGTCTAACACCATTGATTTAGCTAGAATCATTATATGGTTAAACTACAAGAAGGAAAAATTTAAAGTTGGAATAAAAATGGCAATCAGGCATTATGATTACATATAAATAATATACTGATTTGATAACGTTTTGTTAGTTGATTTTAATTATATTGGCAGAGTGGCTAATTTTGATTTGTCTCCTCAATACATGATCCTCTATGATATTACAGAACATCATACTGTTACTAGGAAGATTCAAACAAATTCTTAATGGACGAACTGTTCACAAACAGAAAAACATTATAAACTTATAAAGTTTCTCATCTTGTTTTTCAAACAAATTTACAACTGTTTCTAATTTTCTCTGATACAGATACATGATATGCCAACCAACTTCAGTACACCCAATTTATCCATTCAGAACTTTCAAATGTGCAAACTAGGTTATAATGAGATGTTGCCTGTTTTTTAGTTTTTAAAAACAGCATTTCAAAGATGCAGCCAGTTAGCTGTAGTTAAACTAAACCCACAGCAGACAATCTGGACATTTCATCATGGCATTCAGTTCATGGTGTACAGTAGTTTTATGCAGTATAGGAACACCACAAAAATTTAAAAAATAAAACCCATGATGTGACATACTATAATTCAGACAAATATCAAACTGAAACTGTTTGCTGTATCAGCTGAAAAGTCACAAAAGAGAGCACTGTTTCAATGTGCAGGGCTTATAAATTTCCAGCAAAGATCAGGCTGTTATGAAAGAACTGATGGGCAAATAAACTATTCTTTGATATGGCTTAACAAACAGAAAATATGAAAATCAATGAATACATGCCTTTTGCATTATTGTCACAGTCTTACCTCCCATAAATCTATATATTGGAGCACAGCTTTAATAATGGTGTTACATCTATGTATTCACTAACTGCTGTGCCTAACATTAGGATAAACAGTTCCGTTCATCAACCACATGCTTGCTCCACTCCCAGAGTAGATTATACATTTTACATTTAATCTTTTGATGGCTAAAACTGATGAACATTCAAAACTACACAAAAAAGCTCATACCTACAAAGACAATATGCTGGCTAGGGGCCTCCCGAAGGACTTAACCAGTAACAGCACTTGACCAAGCACTGGTAGAGCTCTATAGTCATGGGTTCGAGCCTGGTCATGTCACTAACTGACTAGCACTGGTACACGATTAGCTGAGCACCAACATGGGTAGGGTGGTATTATGGGATTAGTTCTCCATGTCTCTCTTGTTGCAGCTACCCCTTTGTCCTCTTGGGCACCTGCAGGCATGCTGTGTTGCTGGTAAGGAACACCTCTCTGCCCCAACCAACACTAAACCTCTGATACAGGGCTGTGCTGCCTGCAATGCACTAAAAGCCAAGCAACTCAAAGGTAGGTGGGTTTGAGGAGTCTCCCTAAATTTGCTCATTTTTCCCGTGTGAAATCAGGGTGTTCATTGCAGCGAGCCAACTGGTTGAAAACACACAACTAAGTCATCCAAATCAGGTGGGTTTATCAAAAATAACTAGCAATTATACATTGATATAAAAATAGTGCTGTCTTTTTGTCAGCTTGAGGCTTCTTCATTGCCCAATGGAAATTCACCATTAAGCACGAGATGGTAAAACCCGCTGACTTTTAGACAATCTGAACGGAAAAACAAGCATAGCAGTTGGCTGACATATCAGACACACACTAAACTGTGAAATCTTTTTGGAGACAAACACATTCTGATGACAGTGATGATGTAAAGTCTAGAGCACCCAGCTTGAAGGCATGCACAACAATTCAGAGGTTCGGCGTCTAACCTGTAGGACCTGGGGGGGGGGTGTGTCAAATGTCACCACGAGACACCATTAGGTAAAATGCCACAAAAAACAAAAAACAAGTTAAAGTCCATTGCATCAATATTGCATAGCAAACCTTATAATGCAAAAGGATTACCCATAACATTCACTTGGGGTTAGTGAATTAAAGGTCATCCAAAACCAGTTGTTTTGACACTACAAATAATGCTTTTCTATGTTAGCCTTTCATTTGGCTAACCAAGTCATTGCAAATCTTAGCACAATTGTACTTTTTAACAATAGAAAACTCTGTAGTGCCAAAATCAAGTTTGGATCAAAACTGTTAGTAATTGGGTACCTTTTGGAGACCATGCTGTCAGAGTGGGACAAATAAGCTGAGCTGTTTTCAAATACACCACTGAATCCGAGACAAAAGCAATTTGTGCTCCTTCAATTATTTGTACCGATGAAATACCATTTCAATGTTTCCTGCAGTGCATTTACTCAGTGTTAACAACAGTTTAATGTGCCAGACTTTTTCTGACATATAACAAAGAATAACATACAGCAGACCTGCTCTCCGGAGACAGCACCTATACTGCTCCAGTTACTCAGATATCTGAATAAAATTAATTATGATTGTCAATTTTCTAAAAATGGTACACTGATTTATAAAACAAGTAACATAATATTTCTACAAGATATGCTCTGTGCATTGTAGCACAATGATTTTATACAATGCTGAAAGAGAACGTTGTTTAATTCTTAACTTATTTGTCACTGGAAATATCTATTGTTACACTTCATCTCCTGCTGCATTACATTAACATTCTTATTGAGCCTAAATGGATTTAATTGTTTAGAGCTCAGGTTAATCAGGGTGTAAGTTATCAGTCCACAAACACTTACATCCTCTACTGTAAGAAACAGGCAGTATTTGAAGTATTGTGATCAATTACATTTCATGACGGTATTTAAAGGACGACCAATGTGAAATTTAAGCTTCTGTAAATGATTTTGACTGGTTCAGTCAAGCTGTTTTCGTTTACCAAATTAATGAGAAAACCTCATTTTAATGCTTTTTGTTAAAGCACTAAGGTGAGAACCTACTAAGGTGGAAAACCTACTCATTCGGGGTAGTTTATAAAATTCTTCTGCAGAGGATGTGTCTACTGTTGATGGTTAAACCACTTGCTGCTAGAGTGTCCTCACAAAAGAGCTGTACAGTTAGGAGCTTAATAGACACCTTACACACGGGTTCAACTGCTTTGAGAGTGTTGTTTATCTCAACCAAATAGGAAGGAGCAACTGGCAAGAATTTTGTACTTCTTTACTGTTAGAGAAATGCACTGGCCTGCTTAAGTCTGCCTACGTCCAGGTAAGTCATAGCTACTGGAGAACAGACACGCCTGGGACTAGGGCAGTGTTCATTAACAAACACCAAGTAGGTGGAATTAATCACAGCTCAGCTATTTCAACCACTGATAAGTGAGAAACCGGATTTGAAAAAGAAATCCCTGTGAAAAGAAGGAAACAGACTTGCTTTCTGTGACTGTGGCAAAGCACAATGGAAAGATGACCATGGATGATGGAGGACAGACACACCAAATGGATTCTTCCATGCTCTCAAGCCTACAAACTCATGTGAAGAACAAGTGGATTTCTGGTCCTTTTTGGGAGTGACATTTCATTACAGTGTGCAATGCAATCTCTTCATTCTGTGCTCACTCAACATGACAGCGATTGGAAGTGCGCACATGTGCTCAGTGATCATGGTTTCGTTCGTGTAGCATCCCATGCAAATCACAAAATGAAAGAAACCACTTTGTTGCCTGGTTTTTAGAGACACAAAGCAAGGTTTAGACTTAAGCCAAGGTTTGGACTTTGATACAGTTTTATAGTCTGGAACTGGTCTTGCAAAAGAACCCAAGTACCATATAGTTCCAGCGATTTGCCAAATTATATTCAGAGTACACATGGGAAACCAGGCAGCAAGTTGGCCAGAGGGATGTGATGATGTGCTCCACACTTACCGCTTCTCCCTGGTGGGCCTGGGGGGCCAGGGTTACCTTTGGGACCCTGCTGAGGTAGACCAGGGGGACCTGGAGGACCCGTATTCCCAGGAGGCCCAGGCAAACCCGGGAAGCCTGCCTCTCCTTTGGTACCAGGAAATCCAGGGCTACCTGGAAGACCTGGTAGACCCACATCTCCCTTTGGACCTGGAGAAAAACAAACATGGCTCCAGTTACCACATCAGCAGACAGCAGCACCACTAGGACCGGAATGGACGGGCTGTCGGTGAGCTCCGTTTACTGAAGATAGATGAGGAAATGTCACCTGGCAATCCAGGAAGGCCTGAGGAACCAGGGCGTCCTATTCCTTGCTGACCTAAAGAAGCACAGAAACCAGATGTTAGTGTACTACCTGTATTGCAGCACATCCCGTTCATCTGTAAAAACCCCACCATTTTTGTTTGGAGTTTAAAGAGCCACTAAGAGCACAAGTAATGTTTTTCTGTATTAACGACACTCTGCTATTGCTCTGTACCTTAAACTGGATTTTGAGGTGCACATGCACTTTCTTAAAAGAGCTACAGGAACGTTTTTATGAAGACAGACTGCGGGCTTCATAGGTAAAAAAAAAATAGTACACATGTACAGGGCAACCCTGCTATTGGTCTCCACCGTGTTTGTCATTTGGCTTCCTTGTCATTGATTAGGAATGATTTAATAATTCGGCAAATTTGTTTAGATTATTTATCATAGCAATTGTTTTGCTGCTCTTTCATCTTGCTGACAATTTACAGCATCATAGTAAGATGGTTAACTTAGGAAGTTTATTTGTGATGCACACTACTGTATTTGTTCCTCCTGAGCAAATTTAGTACCTGAAAAAAATATATTTTCCCTTTTGGAAATTACAGTATGTATTATGTGTAAAGCGGTCATGGAAAGAAAGTCAAATGACATTCTGTACTATGCTGCAGGATCAGCCTGTTCAGTGTGCACATCTGGGATCATTTGCTTTTGTATCATACAACATTTCTCCTTCAGGAGAGCAAACATTGCTTTAAATGAAAAGAGTGATTCACAAAAGAGAGAGAGAGAATGAAAAGGTCACGTAAAATGAAATATTTGGGATCTGAAAAAGAGTGGTGAATGTGCTACAAGTATTCCACAAAGGGCATTACAAAAAGTCCCTCCATTTGTGGATGGCTTCCAAAACAGCAGCCCTGGAGCTGGAAGAGTTGCTCACCTGGATCGCCCTTCAGCCCGGCAGGACCAGGGATGCCGTCTCGACCTGCTTGGCCCTTGTCTCCTGGAGGCCCAGGGGACCCAGGGCCGCCTGGATTTCCTAGACGACCTGGGGGCCCTGGAAGGCCTGGACTGCCTGGGGCCCCATCAAGACCTTTCAGT